CTTCCTTTTCCTCCCCCCTCCTCCTTCCCTTTCCTCCTTCCCCTTCCTCCTCCCCCTTCCTCCTACCTCCTCTTCCCCCTCCCCCAACATAAAGTGCTGCTTTAATTCTTCAGAACAATACCAGCATCACAGAACAATTCTGTCATTTCAAGAGGTGGCAGTTGTGAAAGTCACCTAGTACTACTAGTCCAATTGTATAGGATTGTTTTAAAGAACTTGGGACGATACACAGACAAAGTGAAAGATTTGTATCCTCCAACCTAGAGGTGACTGTTACTTTACAGTGTTCTGGGGTTTTCTCTGCACATGTATTATGTACGTTTTGTATGTGTATAATTACAACTGAGTTTATATAATAGTTTTATATTCTTGGTGTGTTTTTTAACCTATTGAGTTTGTTTATTTTTTTTTAGTTCAATTTTTTAGTAGCTGTTCATCAACAGGGTTCCTATTTTTGAAAAGTATTATATCCTGGTTAAAAAAACTGAGTTTGGGTTAGTTGATATCGAAGAATGTGCTTTTCTGTTTTTCTTTTTAATATCAACCTAGAATATAATTCAGTCAGTCCTGGTAAGAATCCCTTTGAGTGGCTTTTACCCCTCTGGTTTGTGTAATGCTGGGCAGGCTACAGGATTAGTGAGCTTCATGGAGGACGGGCGGGCTGCATGAAAGGGAGAGGGAGCGCTGTGTCTTTTTAACTTTCCCTGGCTTTGATCTCTGCAGGGCCAATACTCCCACTTGGTTTTACTGGCCGCATTTGATTGTATTGATGATACTAAGCTCGTGAAGCAGATTCTCATATCAGTAAGTAATTCTCATGGTCTTGAATTTAAGTTAAATCAATACATCATTTGTGGGTTTGTGTTACTTCACACATACATGTGTAAAGACTTTGAAGTATCTGCTTCTTGAAAGCCTTTTGTTAGTTATTAGTTGACTCATTGAGTCTTGTTTCGGGGTTTGCTTTATTCCTGTATAAGCCATAATCTTACAGCTTCATATTAATAATTAATATTGTTTTAAATATGTAAAAGAATGGTTGAATTAGGATAACATGGCTTTTTAAACCGTATGACATACTAAATGAAAATGTAGCAGTGCAGTGCTTAGATTTGCATAGAAATTCATTGACATAGTAATTCTTCAGTTATTCAAGAGTTCACATCCAGCAGAGGACATCCATGACCTTTCTCTCCCATTGGAGTAACTACCTCTACACAGTCACCCAGTCTGTCAGGACATCTGTCCTGATTGAGCTGGGGAAGAAAAACTGACAAAACTCACTCAATTGTGATACTTCCTAGAGCTTTCATGAAAGTTTTTAAGACTCAGATTAAAAATTATTACTAAAATGAAAATACTAGCTTCTTTTATACATTTCAGCAATTCCTTTTAGCATAGTATAATGACCATAAAGTGGTAGTAATTGAATGCAATTTATTTCACCCTAAATTTGCCTTCAGGAAAATTGAGCTGTTCTCTTGAAAGAACTGCTCCAAAGTAAAAACTGCATTGTGAAATCATTTCCTTGTTTCTGCAGCGATTGCCTTCTGAATCTGGTCTTCTCTTCCGTTCCTTGATTTCTAGTATGTAGGTAGTATTGGGTATATAATAGAGGTTGCAGGGGTAGGGTTAAGAAATTGCAACGTTGGTTGCAGGAAACATTTTAAAAACCACATAATCTGTATAGACATACTCATCTGAAAATTACACAAAGTTTCTCTTTGATACCATGGACAGGCCGTTGGAGAAATCTTAGTAACAGAAGCTACTTTCACACCATCTGCAGGGAGAAGCAGATGGATGTTCAGAAAGAGACTTTACCTGTTGGCATGTGACGGTGCTGTGGCTCTCTCTGTAGCCTGTCTGGACCAGTAGAACTGAGTGTAGGGGAAAAAAATGTATCAGCTAGTGGAGGGGAAGGAGATTTTTCTTAGATGCCAACTGTAGGTCCTAGTGTGTGTGAATTTCTCATGCCCTTGCTGTCATTTTCCAGCTTTTCCCTTGACTATTTTAAGATTGTAATGACTTTCTTTGGGATAAGATTGTGGGAAGAAACCATTTGGCAAGACTTTCATGTCACAAACTAAGTATTTTGACACATTCCTTGTGACTTTATTACCCTTTTGACCCCAATCAGTAATGATTGTTTTTCATTCCTGTGACAGTGATGTGAGGCCATAGATTTGTTAATGAATAAAGTTGTTTCATGAAAATGGAAACAGGCTGGGCTATTCAAAGATTGCTTTTGTTTAATATTTTCAGGACAACTAAAATTTGCATAACTTCCAAATAGATTTCAAGAGAAGCCGTACTTCCTTCAGGATTTGCCACAATTTGTCTGCTAGATTTTTTTACAAAGATTTATCCCACTTAAAGTTGCTGTTGGAACAGTTTTAATTCCTTGTGCTTATCAGATTGATTCCCACCACTACTTAGCCCACATTCCTGATGACTTTCTCATGCTCAGGGCAGCTCTCCGAGAGTGGCCTGATTTACTGATCTCTTGCTTCTAACTGACAAATGCTCAAAAGGTTCTGTGTATCATTAAACTATGTAGCCAGTGATAAAATCCTGGAACACTAGTTGCCCTTGCATTTTCCCCACCCCTTTACCAGAAAACCTGTTGCAGTAGGCAGTTCTTTTAAAAAATACACAAGGAAGCTTAGTGTTGCTAAGAATTCTTTTCAGGGTAATCAGACTTCCTGAAATACCAGGTCAAAATGACAGCCTGGTCAGCTGAGCCCTCACCTTTCAAAATGGATACACACTGTTTCCCACCTACTTTACTTTCCAAAATAAACATACTTATAAAATTTGATCCATTTTACCCTGGGATTGTTGGTTTGGTGCAGCTGCTTTGACAGCAGTGTTCCTCAGAGAAGGAAATATCTCTATACAGAAAGGTATAATGAATAAGACAGTGAGGACGCAGCCTCCTACTATCTGACAAAGAAGTAAAACTTCACAAATACAGTTAAAGTTCAGGTCCTTTGCATACCTATCCCCGATTGCATGTCCACCCCCCCACAACCATGGTGATGAATTTTGTATTTATTATTCGTATGCATTTCCTTACCCTTTTGCTACACGTAGATGTATATAGTACTATCTTGCATGTTTACAGATGCCATGTAAATGACATCTTATAGGTTGTCTCATGCAACTTGCTTTTTTCTTTTGCTATTATGTTTGTGGAATTATCATCAGGGGTTGGCAAGCCTTTTTGAAAAGGGCCAGATAGTATTTTAGGCTTTGTGGGCTACATATGATCTCTGTTGCCTGTTCTCAGTTTGTTTTGTTTTTATTCTTGAACAGTCCTTTAAAATTTAAAGGCCGTTCTTATCTTGTAGGATTTACAAAACCAGGCTGCAGGTTGACCCACGGGACTTTGTTTGCCCCCCTCCTGTTCTAAATCATTTATTTTCCAACGCCAAATAGTGTTTTACTATGAGTATACTGCAGTTTATTTTTCCACTTTCTGTTGATGGACATTTAGATTGTTTATAATTTTAAAAACTTCAAAAACTCATTACGTTTTGCTGTTCCAAATAATTCTGTGAGCATTCTTGTATGTCCGTTTAGCAAAATTGCTGGTTTGTCAGATATGTTGCACATAATGTGTATCTAGAGGGAGTCATGTGACCGTCCCACCCAATCACTGCAAAGCCTGTTGCATTGTGCAATAAAGATATATTACTTTATAGCTATTTTCAGTTTGCAGTGTGACTTTTTTTTTCTTTTTTAAAAATATATCTTTATTGATTTCAGAGAGAGGAAAGGAGAGGGAGAGAGAGATAGAAACATCAATGATGAGAGAGTCATTGATCGAGCCCGCAACCCGGGAATCGAACCCCGATCTCCTGGATCCCAGATTGACGCTCAACCACTGAGCCACGCCCGGCTGGGCAGACTTTTCTAATTTGCTTCTGGTCATGGCCCACAGTCAGGCCAGGGCATCATTTCCTTTTACAGATAAGGGAACTGATGTATGGAGAGGTTAAAAGATTTGCCAAAGGCTACACTGTTTGAGCTGATCAATAGTTGCAATAGTTGATTGGTTCTTCTTACCTGTTTCTACATGTTATTGTTCTCTTTGTTGTTCTCCTTTCTAGAAATTTCTCTCTTTGTGTGTAACCCAGCTTAAAGAGAAATGAATTAGTGCTCTAATATAACAGCAGTCATACTGTTTCCTTTTAAGTATATGGTTTTGAGAGTAGGAAAGCTGGAATGAAGGGGGAGAATTAAGTGATTTCACACTCAAACGAACATAACTTTAGATTCTCAGTTCCTTAATTACAAACTGAAATGCAGTAAAGTCCTTGAGTAGTATTTGCACGAGGCTTTAAGCCTCTCATGTTAAGGTAAAACCTTTCCTGCCCTTGTCTATGTGTATTGTTCCAGTCCTTAAATGTGGGACCCACAGAGAAAGTGAGTACACTGAGGAATATGGTGCTGGTCTCATGCCACCCTTTCTGCTCCTTACACCAAGAACGAAAATAATAAAAAATGCATATGTTGAGCCCTGGCCAGTGTGGTTCGGTTGGAGCGTCCCCCATATACCAAAGGGTCATGGGTTTGATTCCAGTCAGGGCATATACCCGGGTTTCGGGTTCAATCCCTGGTTGGGGTGCATGTGGAAGGCAACTGGTCGATGTTTCTCTCCCTTTCTCTCTCTCTAAAATCAATAAAAGCATGTCCTTGAGAGGATTTTAAAAAATGCCTGTGTGGAGTCTACTTTGGGGCATGTTTACCTTGAAATTGCTAAAGAGCTCCCTCCTCTGTGATGTGTACATTTTTGTTTTGTCTTGCCCTTTTTACTGAAATTTCAAGTTCATTTTCCTTGGATGGTTGACATTTATATTACTTTTGAGGGGGTTAGTTCTGTTGTACCTGTTCTCTGGAAACCTTTCTGTTTATGGGGAAAACCTTTATACGTGGCCTTAAACTTCTTCAAAGGTAGAAGAGCACAGTGGGGCTTAGAGTCATGGAAAGGGGTGACCATGTCCTAGATGAGTGGCCTTTACTTATCTACTTTAATTCACCTTATTTGTTTGGACCTTGGGCTCCTTATTTGTAACACGAAAGTAAGCTGTAGTACTTGTGTCGTCATGATGTAAAGAATATTTAAGGTGATGGACATAGCACTCTCAGCACAGGGTCTGGTTCCTGGTGAGCACGTAAGTGTTAGCTGCTGTAATTAATTATAGGAAGGACAATATACTTTTGTGCAGAAAATGAGCGATGCTTGAGACTTTAAAAAGAGAAATGTGTCTGGAATCTGGAGTTGCATCATCAACTTTGGGGTCATGAACTTTGCTGTATCATGATCCCATGGTNACATCTCCCTGGGGAAGCATTTTCCACTGATACCGTTGCATGGGTCTCTGCAAATTGATAGCTGGGACACTGAATGCAAACCGTTCCCTGTCTCTCGGATGGAGGGGGAGCGGGGGGAGCAGGGCGAGTGCTAGCACCGCTGCCCACCACTCGGGTCAATGCCTCAGAGATTTCTCTCTTGATGGCACTAGGGCAAGCGGGCCTCCCGGGTCTTTCTCCCTGGGCAGCACCTCGCCCGGCGGGTCCTCCCGGGGGGAGTCCCGCCGGCTCCCCACATTTTTTTAAATAAATGTATTGGGGTGACAGTGGTTAATAAAATTATATGGGTTTTAAGTGTACAATTCTGTGATACATATCTGTATATTGCATTATGTGTTCACCCCCAGAGTCAGGCCTCCTTTCATCACCATATGTTTAACCCCTTTTACTCTTCTATCCCCCTGTCTCCCTTCCCGTCTGGTAACCACTATACAGTTGTCTGTGTCTATGAGTTTTTGCTTGTTTGTTTGTCTAGTTTGTTCATATGTTGCTTTCAATTTTGTATCCCACATGTGAGTGAAATCATATGGTTCTTAATTTTTTCCACCTGATCTACTTTGCTAGCATGATATTCTTAAGATCCATCCGTGTTGTTGCAAATGGCAGTGTTTCATCTTTTCTTATGGCTGGGCAGTGTTCCATTGTACGTATGTACCATGTCTTTATCCAGTCACCTGCCAAAGGGCACTTCAATTGTTTCCATGTCCTGGCCACCGTGAATAATGTTGTGGTGAACACAGGGGTACATATGTCTTTACGAATAAATGTTTTCAAATTTTTCAGGTAGATACCCAGAAGAGGGGTCGCTGGGTCATATGGTAGCTCTCTTCTTAATTTTCTGAGGAACCGCCATACTGTTTTCTATAGTGGCTATTCCAGTTTACATTCCCATCTGCAGGGTATGAGGGTTCTTTTTTCTCCACAGCCTCTCCAACACTTGTTATTACCTATCTTGTTGATAATAGCCATTCTTACAGGTGTGACATGGTATCTCATTTTGGTTTTGATTTGCATTTCTCCTAGAGCTAGTGAAGTTGGGCATCTCCTGTATCTGTTGGCCATTTTTGTGTCTTGGGAGAAGTGATGACTGACTTAATTTTTAGGTTGATTCCTTGCACTAAAATTATTAATCTCATAGTAATAAATAGGCACTTAAGAGAATAGCAGATCTGAGTATATCATCTCATGGAGAATTCCTTTCCTTAACAGAGAGTGTACATTTTCTTTGAAAGAGACTAGAGTTGGAATTAGGGACCAGAATAGTCAGAGTCCTGCCACTGACATTCTACATCTTATGGTAAAGTCACCTCTCGTCTTTCTGGGTTCTTTGTCTGTAAACCTGGGTGATTGCACTGAATTCTTTCTATGGCCCCAGCCAGTTCTGAAGAATCTCTGGTGCTCAAGCATACATGGCTTTGAGTATCTATTAGGTTTGTTGCATGAAATAGGAATGTTAGAGGGGCAAATGCCTGATGATTTTTCTGCTGTGTATTCTCTATTAAGATCAGAGGAATTTAGCCCGGCCGGGTGTGGCTCAGCAGTTGAGCATCTACCTGTGATCCAGGAGGTCACGGTTCCATTCCGGGTCAGGGCACATGCCCGGGTTGCTCGCTTAGTCCCCAGTGGGGGCATGCAGGAGGCAGCCGGTCAATGACTCTCTCTCATCATTGATGTTTCTGTCTCTCTCTCTCCCTCTCCCTTCCTCTCTCTGAAATCAATAAAGATATATTTAAAAAAAAAAAAAAAAAGATTAGAGGAATTTAAACAGTGAATTTTCGTTCATTGGAAACATCAGCAAATTTACACAGGAGCCTAGCTGGGGCAGGGATGACATTCCCTTTGTTTCTTAAATTCATACAACTAGAAAAGGTGGTTACTTTTTTGGGTAAGTTGATTGAAATTGTAATAGAGTGTAGTTATTTGTAACTGCTCCTAGAGTTTTTCTGCATGTTTCCCTTCCCCCTCTTTTTGTTTCCATTGCTATACCTAAATAGCTTTCATTTGCCATGACTAACCAGCCTAACTTTAAAAGCCTTTATCCATTTGCTCTGTTTAACAGTTTCTTTATCTCCCTTCACATACATCTATCTCAGTGGGGAAATTCTAGTAAGAGTCTTCTTCATCGACGCTGATGCTACACCTAAGTGCAGCTGCAAATTAACTGATCTGCTCAGTGACCCCAGCAAGCTATGTCGCTGGTAATGGTGGCCTAAGAAGTATCGGTTATATAGTGAATGAAGATAATGGCTTTAAATATTTTTTAAGTCTCTTTGAGCTTGGTCAGTTATATAAATGGATTTTTCAGTAATGCTAGTCACAATAGAGAATTCATTCTATGTTCTGAGTATAAATCAGTTTGTGCTTTAATGAGACAATTTCACAACTAGCTCCACATTTTTCGTTAAGTATGTTGGGGAAAATAGTTAAGTGTATATCTTTCTTTGCCATTCAGATTCCAAACATCCTTTAAGCATACAGGTTCATTTTTTGTTTCTATAATTTTACAGGAAATTATTAGTTCCTTGCCTAACATATTAAATGACAAATATGGAAGGAAGGTGCTGTTGTACCTACTAAGCCCCCGAGATCCTGCACATATAGTACGAGAAATCATTGAAGTTCTGCAGAAAGGAGATGGAAATGCACACAGGTAAGAACAGGAGAATGGCTTGTGCCCTTGGTTTTCTGATTTATTAACTTCAGTAGTGCATGCTTCCAGAATTCTACTTATGCATGCACACCCCTTCTCATACTCCCTCTCTCTAAAATTCAAAACGTGAATTCTATTTTTAAACCTGAAGTTGTTTTTATCTTGAAGAGGAAATAGAAGCATTGTGCCAAAAGAATGCCTGTGAGCCCCTTGCATGTAGTAGGCACTTAGGTGTGTGATTTGTTTTGGTTTTGCTTTATTTTTAAAGCTACTGATACCACATAATTGAGTACTCTAGAGAGTAGAACCCATAAAATTATATAAACATGTTTGTCTTGAAAGATATTTTGTTTGTCTTGAAAGATGTTTTGGATTGTTTGGGGTTTTTTTTATTACATGAGGCAAGCTTCGCTTATCGAATACTTGTTTTGTGCCAGGCACTAGTCACATCCTGGGGACACAAACATGAAAGAGATACCCCACCCTCATGCATAACAGAAAGATATAGGCAATTACAGTAGCATGTGACAGAGACTGTTGTAAACCCTTAGAGGTTTTTGTAGAAATACGATCACCATATTTCCTTTGCCATTTATCTTATGACTCATTCAACCTGTTCCAACAGTAAGAAAGATACAGAGATCCGCCGCCGAGAGCTCTTAGAATCAGTCTCTCCAGCTCTGTTAAGCTACCTGCAAGGTCACGCCCAAGAAATGGTGCTAGATAAGTCTGCGTGTGTGTTGGTGCCTTGCATTCTGGGAGCTGCCATTGGAGACGTTCAACCTGCCATGAATGCCATCGCCAGCTTGGCAGCAGCAGAGCTGCATCCTGGTGGCAAGGATGGAGAGGTAATGTGCTATTATAAGACAAGCAAGGAAGCTGCAGCAGCTGCAAAGAGGAGTTCAGTGATAATTAACTCACTGCATACCAACAGTGCATTTGAAAATTGAATTCAAAATGCAGTGCTGTTGAAATGCTGTCTTGCAGTGACTCCAGGAGTAAAAAGAAAATCCTTTTAATGTGTCTCTATTGTCCATGACAGCCCCAAGCTGTCTTTCTAGTAAATTCTATGCTCTTAATTCTGTTTTGAATTTGCTGTCGACTTTTGAACCTCTCTCTATTTGTACATGCCTTTTCCCTCAGTCTTGAGTGTTGCCCATATCTCTGTGTTCCTATGCTCTCCATGTAGAAAGCTTTACTCATCCTTCAGGGTCCCTAGAATCTTCTGTGACATCTTCCCTAATCCCCTTATTAATAAGTCTTTGCTCTTTCTGATAGGTCCTGCCTATATTATTTGGGTCTTATGTTATTCTGCCTTTCATTTTATTCAAGTTTATTCAATTGTGTACCTGATCTGTGTTAGGCATTTGAGTCAGTGCTGCCCCCCCCTTTCCCCTACCATCTTTAAGTTACCATTTTGGTGAACATGAACATAACATACTATTTAAATAAAAATGATCATTTCATATTGAGATAAGTGCTATGAAAAAAAACTATAGGTCCTATGGTATTATAAGCTGGAGCCATCCTATTCCCAAGAAAACTTCCCTGGGGCAGGGAAGTAGTCACACATGTGTAAACATTCAGCATTAGGTTTTAATGTTTCTGCTGTAGTGTTCTGTTCCATAGGTGTATCTGTACCTCAGAACTGCATATTGCAGTCTGAAAAGTGGTGAGCAGGATCTCGGGATGAACATTGTGGGGCTTTTTAAACCGGAACTCATGAGGCCAAGCCTAAACTAGTTCTCAGTGGCTGTGTTGCCTTGAACAACTGTTTTCGTTTTAGTCTTGAATTAGAATAGACCTCCAGGTATAATGGTCATTCTAAATAAAGATCTTTTAAGCCCATGAAACTTTCAGCTTTGCTGAATCCTTGTCTGTATTGATACGGGATGGCTTGTGGGCCAAGGCATGGATGAAAACAGCTTGTAAATTAATGTGTTCTTGACCCCTCATAGCTTCACATTGCAGAACATCCTGCAGGACATCTTGTGCTGAAGTGGTTAATAGAGCAAGATAAAAAGACGAAAGAAAATGGGAGAGAAGGTAGGTTGTTAAACTTGACCTTTTGTTGTAGCCTGTGTGAAATTTCAGTAATTCTTGGAGTCCCTGAATTTGATGTCAGCCATACAAGTTCAAGGGAGTTTGTTGAGTGTTCAGAAATAATGTCTGTGACTAAGAAATGATTTAGTGGTTGCAAGTACTGCTTTAGTAAATGCTAGAGATTTGTGTCCTAGAATCCTTTAGGTTTTTTTTTCTCTTTCCCACCCTCCCTCACTCTTGTCCTCTTGTCTCTGCTACTTCAGAATTCTGACTGAGCTTCGCTAGTTTTCTAAAACGCCATTCTATTCCTTGAGGATGGTGAGAGCACTACAGTAGGGGGCCCATGTGTTAGTATCATGACCCCAGTTGAAAGGTATGATATTTATTTCTAGTGTTGAAGAAGGGACAGGCAGAAGAAAATTATCCTTATCAGAGAATTTTGAACTGGTGCTTATTTGGCATTGAAATACATGTGACCAAAGAGCAAGCCAGTCCTTGGCATTTATTGTTTTTTCAGAAACCTCATAGCTGCTTTGTAGAAACTCAGCTCTCAAGGGGAGAACAGATCTTTTATCTAATTGAAAAGTTGCATACCATTTCCTTCTCAGTCCTGTCTTTGACCAGACCTTCTCTTACTAAATTCAACTCCATCTGGTATTTTAGCCACTAGAGAGATTTCCCCCCACTTGAGTAGTCTAGACTTTCTATTACTGTATCTGGAAAAAAAAGTGACAGATTGTAAATGTGTGTCTTTAGGCAAGTTGCAGTTCTAATGGCTAGTAAGGCAGTCAGTGTCCAGCAGAGCTGTCACTTCTCACTCTACCTTTGAGAATAGAATCTTGGAGCTATTTTCACTAAATTTTTTGTGGAAGAGATAGCTTCTTATATTTTAAAGAAAAAACAATGTACTGAATCATCTTTTTCATTAAAAATGTTGGTGCACATTTGAGCTGAGTTTATGTCAGAAAAGTTGATTGACTGACTTTTAAAGTCCTGAAACTTTCTAGTGATTTTTCTTCGTAATTAAAATGTGCTGGCAGCACTAAAACATGCCTGCTTGGGCCTCAGATTTTTATCATTTTCATGTAGCAACACGAGTATGACTAGCTGCCTTGGGTATCTGTTGCTGTGTAACAAGTTACCTCAAAACAATAGTTTTCAAAACAGTAATAATTCGGTTAGGGTTTAGTGGAGCTTGTTTCTTCTCTGCCCAGAGTGCTGCTCATCTAGGGGTTGGAATATCCACTTTCACAGTGGCTGGCAGTGGCTGAGGCCAACAGCCTCTGTTCCTCTCCCTTGGCCCCTTAGGCTTCCTTACAACATGGTGGGTTCAGTTTTAAGAGAACAAAGTAGGTGTGTGGTTCTTTCATGGTTTAGCCTCAGAATTATTTAACATCACTTTTATTATCATATTCTCTCTGTTAAGTGAGTCATAAAGGCCCACTGAGATTTAAAAGTAGAAGACATCGATTCTATCTCTAGATTGGGAGGGGGCCAATATTCTGTAAGAGCATACAAGATATGATGTTGTAGTCACCTTTGGAAAACACCATCCACCTCACTAGCTGATCTCTCTCTCCTTAGCATGTGCCATGCAAAACAAAATAGCCATATATGCGTCTTGGCTTTTAAAGGCTCCTTTACATTGGGGTATCTTTCGATGAATTGTACATGGTGCCTACCTAAGATGCTTGCTTCCAAGATAGGTTGTCTCTGTCTCCATTTGCACTAAATTCTGGCCTTCAGAAGTTCCCCTTTGTCCAAGAATTAGTTACACTTCGATAGCACAGTGAATACACCAAGACCTTGGGAATCAGATATACCATAACAACAAAAGATGAGTGGTGTTTCAGATGGGTGAACATTTAGTATCGTAAAGAGTAATTGCCAAGTATAAGCACCGCTAGTGTTCACGGAACCTTCTTGAGTGAACATTTTCCATGAGGGGAAATTTAACTTCATTCAAACCCAAGGTGCTGCTGTCATAAATTTACTTCCTGAATACCTTTCAGGTCAGGGTTAAGTCTTTCAGTAGTACAAAGAAATGCAAACATGACCGAGAGTGTTTTATAAGAATTCATTGTTTCTCTTGAGTAAATACTGCTAAGCATAGCTTAAGATTTGGACCAGATTTGAAAGAAATGGCTGTACTATAAAAATACATTATATAATCCTGAATGGGAATTTTTAGTGTTAAGGGAGTTTGGGTGAGAACTCTTTTTATTAGCTTTTTTATTAAAACATACTCACAGATTTAAGGGCAGCAGAGAGGGAGATGGGAGTTTAAATCTTGGTATATTATGTTCACTAAGTTTCAATATATTTTACAGGTTGTTTTGCAAAAATACTTGTGGAGCATGTTGGCATGAAGAACCTGAGGTCCTGGACCAGGGTAAATCGAGGTGCCATTATTCTTTCTAGGTATGTGTCATGAGTGCCTTTCTCTCCTCGGGTCGCCATCCTGAGTTCTTGTTTATGCAACAGACTTCTCACATTTATTTCTCTGTTCCAGCATTTGTTCCCCATAGTCCAGGGTTACTCTCAGTCACTTATGATCTAGACGAGTGTACCAAATAGTAGAAAGCAGCTATAACTCTTCAGTCAATCCTCACAGTTTTTTTCATCTGCCCTCTTTTTGGATGTCAAGAATCATAAAATTTTGACAGTCAAAGGAATCATGTGATTGTTTCTACACATTTATGCTTTTGACCAAAATGTATTTGTATTATTTTTAATGAATTAGCCTTGTCCCTATGAGAACAGTGAGTTATTTTTTCAATTGTGCTGAATTTACATGTAATTTTCATTCATTGTTTTCTACTATTCTAAAAGGCTTTAGGAAGCATTTGCTTCTGAAGTCTGCGCATGAATTGTTTATTTCTAATTAAAATGGATAGAAATATGATGATTTGTGAATTGAGGCATATACTTAACTTGCATGTTGTTCTCTGGGCACAGTATGTTGAGTTTATAATTTACTGGTCTCTGAAATTTCCATGCATTCTATTCCCAGATGAAACCTTCTATTAAGAACATTCATTTAAAAATAGGTTTGTGAGTTATGTTGAAGCAATCACTGTTGATTTTTTTCCTTGCTGTGTTACAGAGGTTTGGAAAACAGATACCAATCTTAGTTTGAATTTCCCTCAGTATTTCACATGCAAATATTATGCAGTTTCATCTGTAGTGTTTGTAAATGTTATGTGTTTGTTCAGTATATAATTTGATTTGGAAAACATATACTTACAAACATACACATTCCATATGAACATTTCTTTTTTTCAGGTATATCAGTATCTCCAAACATGGGTGTTACAGATTATTTTATTCATTTCTCGTTAAAATTAGTTAATTTTCCAGTTGATGTTTAATACCCAGAATATATTAGCTGAAACATGAACTCTTTTGATATAAATTTCTTTACCAGGCATTTGGAATGTTAGCACCTACTGACACATTCTTTCATTACACTTAGTTAACTAAAAATTTCAGCAATGCCATAAAATTAGCTTATAGAGTTTTCTCATCAGTGAGAGCTGCGTGTAAGTGGGTTTCAAATATATGAGGGATGCTGTATTGTTATTATGGAATACTACTTAGAATTGGAGCAGGAGCACATGAAACATTTGGGGTTCTGAAGGGAAGTTGGACTGTAGATTACCCAATAATTGATTAATGCAGCAATCATTTCTGTTTGGTTTTTAGAATATTGTCATGTGCTTGACTTATTTGGTAAAATTCTCTGCTTGTTTATATTTTACTTCAAACCCTTGCAGTTTTTTTCCTAAGTCTTTTTTATATTAACTGAAAAAGCATTCTGGCTGAAAAAGAAAATTGGCCTTGTGTGCATTCTGAAAAATAACTCAGGGAAGCAGAATTGTCTAGCACTTAAAAGCATGAGCTCTAGACAAACTGCCTGGGTTCTAGTCCCAACTCACTGTGTGGCCTTGAGCAAGTTATTCAGCTTTTCTGAGTCTTAATTTCCTTGATGATAAAATGAGATTAATAATAATCCTGTGTTATGAAAAAAACTAAATGAGATGATACATATAAAATACTTAGCATTATGCCCAATACACATGTTCAATAAATATCAACTTTTATTACTGTTATGCATTATGTGATGGTGTGCTTAGCCAAAGTATATAAGATAAAATGGCCTCGTGAGTCACGGATCTATTAAAAGGGACTTTACTTTTCGACTTCGTGGGTGGGACGCAGAACTTGCTGCTGTGCCCCATGAGCGGGGTAGTGCTGCTTGGGGCTGTTACTTATCCTCTTTCTGGACCTCACGAAAGTTACTGGGACCAGGCGCTTTAAAAAGTGCCAAGAACATGTTTCAGAAGTCTACGTTTAAATGTCCTGCAGAAATGGGGGGAGAACAGGAAATTCAGCCCTGGTGTCCTGGTGCTGTCAAATTGCCTAAGTCCCAGCCCCTGTGTAAAGAGAAGGGCCTCCTTGTAGCCGGCCGCCAGGGCTCTGATCACTGTTGGGAGCACTCCAGAAGGTCTCCGAAAGCCGAGCTAACCTCATTTTGCTTAAGGGCTTACACTAATTGAGAGCTTTCTAAGTGTAGGGCTCTGGTTAGGTGCTTTACATACAAGATCATTTGACCCCCAAAACAGCGCTGTGAGGAAGAATGTGGATTCTGTTGTTGATCCCACTTTATAGGTCAAGAATTTAAGTAGCATGCTCTTGGCTGTACAGTTACTGAGTGGCAGAGGCAGGTTTCAGATGTAGGCAGCTAAGCGCCAAGGTGAAGCTCTTCCCTCTTCACTAAATGTTTTAGCTGCAGAGTTCAGTAAGAAGGCCACTAACTGCTTCCCTTCACAGCCCCCCCTTTCCTCTCTGCGCACCTGTTCGTCCATGTGAATTCAGTTGTCCAATGAGTTCTCTTGGCCATCTGTTCTGTACATGTGGTGCCATGGAGAAAAACCCTGGGTTTGTGCTCCTGAGTTTAGGTGGAGAAGGGAAGACAGAATACACGTAGTAAATTAAGGCAGGGTATTAGTTCTAAAATAGTCAAAGTGAAAGTAGGGCCCATTCTGTATGGAACAGAGTTGTTCCTACTTTTGCTTGAGTGACTCCATCAGCAAGATTATGAAATGGTTTTTATTTATGTGGTTTTAGAATATAGGCTACTAGCCCCTGTTATTTATCTGATGAAACATATATTTATAGTTATAAGACTTGTCTCACAAGTCAATAAATATTTGTATACTGTGGATGCAGGTAGCACTTGCAGACGATCTAGGGATTTTTATTAAATTTAGTTTATCTTCTCTCTTCAGCCTTCTCCAGAGTTCCAATCAAGAAGTTGGGAACACAGTCAAAGCTGGACTGAAAAGCCTGATTCCCACGTTGGAGAAAAACAAGAACACCAGCAAAGGAGTAGAAATGCTACTTGAAAAACTGTCTGTCTAGATGGAAACAACTAATGAGATGGAATCATTGTTTCTCTTCTGATCTGTTTTCCCAGAGTGGAAAGAAGGCCTAGGGGTCCACCTCACTGGCACTTTGAGTGCTCTGTATATTCTTCTTTGTATAAGAATTTATATATAAAATGCTTTCTAAAAATGCTCTTTTTTACAAAAATTCCAGCCATCTTCTTAAGTCAGTCAGTGAGGTGGTGATGTATAAGGTATAATGGTCATATGCAGTGGGGCCAGCCAAACACATATAAAGTGCTTGCGTGAGTTATTCAGGGAAAGACACCTTCTGTGAGCAGTAGTCTGAGAAGGCTTCATCAGGGGGAGGTGGGACTTGAGAGGACTTCACAGGAAAGCAGGATGTGGAAACAAAGAGCCGAAGAGAGTTTTTGGTGGGAGCAGTGAGGTGGAACTTAATGGTTGTGAACTGAACTTCAGGAAGTGTTAGGGCCCTGATGGATGCAGGGTGGGAGGATACCCTGGCAACCAGGGCAGCTGCATTCCTAGCTGCCTTGTGGATTGGGTTCCATGTTAGATTTTGTTTGAAAGCTACTCGAAATTAGGGCTAATAGGGAGAAATGTGCTAGGTGAATTAGGGGAATCACAGTGGGTAGCAGTGTTAAGGTCAAGGTCACGGGAAATCTGCCTATCTTTGGATCTGGGCTTTCCAGGTAAATAGCTCCTTTTGATGAGATTTTCTTCATTGGGACTGGTTCTAAAGTAGTTGAAGCCTATAGGGTTTAGTTAGGAAGGAGATGCTAATTTGTTAACAGTGCAAAAGTTTTAACTTAAATTCAAGTAGGATGTTTGAATTTTATAACTGCACTTGGCTTTTAGCAATAAAACTTGGAAGGTTTGGTAGATCTTTCAGGCTCATGTAGCCCTGCCCTGACTACTTTAGATATCAAGCCTTGGTGCTTTCTCTAAGTACCTGCTATAACATGAGACCCACTGCGGTGTGTCGCTATAACTACAGTTGCTGGAGAACTGCAGTGCCTTTCCTGACCAGGCTACAGGGTCCCAGGACCACTCCCAACATTCAAGCTACCAGGACTCCACCTGCTACCTTCTCCTGCCTGGAACATTGAGCCCTGCCCAAAGAGCAAAGGGGCTGATATGTCTGTAATTCCCTTTGGCATGGATTTCCCCCACTCCACCCTAACTCCTGACACCATATCCCTGCCACCCAGCCGGGTCTAAAGATGGAGGTGGGACAGCGGGGTAACTGGGGATGGGGGCAGGAGGTGAATCCAAGAGGCAACATCAGAGCTTACTTTTGTTTGACTAATACATTGTGAATTTGTTTTACATGTAAAGGGCCCATTCAGAAAGAGGCGGGGAACCCTACTATTTCCATCTATGAGACTAAAAAAATAATATACAGAAGTTTAAAAATTAGAGTACTACAAAGCGTATAATAAAAGCAGCAATCCTGCCCTGCCCTACTCCTCACTCCTGTCTGGCCTTCCCAGAAGCAACTACCTCCAAGTCTTTTAGGTCTGCTAAATTTTTAAATATATAGTTTTTGGTGCGTTTTGTTTTTGTTTTGTTTTGTTGTTTTATCTCAGTTTAGGTATTTTCTTTTGACTTCGTATTATGGGAAAATACAGATTAAGACTTCACCACCACTCCTCCCCCACTTTTTTCTTTCCATGTTCCCAATAGAATTGCATCATTTTTGATAAAGCAGTGTTTAGAGTTTATATGGTTATACTGATGTAAATTGTTGAATACTGAAATAACTGATAAACTCTCATTACAGTTCCTAAACCATTTTATTTTCCCTGTTATTAATAGTTCCCTCATTTATTTTCATTTAGTTCAGTTTCTACTACATTCCTATTACTATTTTTCACAAACTTTTTATCAAAATTGGAAGAGAGTCCCTTCCATGTGCCGACTTCGGTGTGTGCACATCAGATGCTTAGAGCTGTGGCACGCAGTGTCTTGCAGTCTTGAGAAGATAAAAAACATGCAGAGGATGGTTGAGTAGCAACAGGTAAGAAGAATCTGGAACTTTGGTGATGTTGAACTGCTGAACAAATCAACTCCTGGAGCTGCCTCCTCCTGGACTTCCAGTTATGCGAGGGAATAAACTCCCATTTATCATTCAGGCCATTGTGAATTGGATCTTTAGAAACTTGCAGCAAAAAGTGTGCTGACCTGACTAAATACTAATCTCCACTCTATTCAACACAACAACTCAACTAGCATATTTTCTTCAGACGCCCTTCCTGGGGCCAGCTGGCTTTCTGGATGTCCTACCACAACCACCATCATTATCTGGGCCTTCCCTTCATTTCTGCTATGGAAAGTCCATTCTAGGACCCATGCATTTCTTTTTCTTGCTGAACACCTTTTGTTGTTGCTGCTGCTGTTCAATGGATCAGTTGTTTAATTAACACCTCTTTTGAATCTCTAGTTGCTTCCTGAGAAATGACTATGAGGCAAAATATTAAAGACCTTGCAAGTCAGAATGTCTCTATTCTGCACTTTCATACCTGGGTGCCTAGTTTAGCTGGATATAGAAATTAATTTTGCCTCAGAATTTGGAAGGTATTGGCCATTATTTTCTTTGGCTTGCAGAATTTTCTGTGAAAGTCCAATGCCATCCTAATCCTCCAGTCTTTTGTATGTGGCCTTGGTGATGGGCAGGGGGTGCTTCTGAAAGGTCACAGGACTTTTAAAAATCCCCAACTGCTTTATATTTCAGGTTCACACAAACTGGTATTTGTTGTGTATGTCTGTCTGCCATTCTTCATGCTGACACTTGTTGAACTGTTTTAGTCAGAAAAACAAAGCCTTTTCATTCTGGGAGCTGTATTTGTATTGTTTCTCTGATCCCCTGCCCTGGTTTTCTCAAATCTTTCTTTTTGAAACTCCTGTTATTGAGATTTTGAATGCTGGTTCAATCCTCTAGTTCTCTTTTTCAGTTCTTTGGCTTTTTGTTTTGCTTTTCTGGGTGAGATGTTTCCAGGCCTTCCATTGAAGAGTTTTTTGTTTGGTAATTTCTTGGATGAAATGTCTTTATGTCTCTGGGGATGTTGTATATTTTGCGTTCATTTGTTTTACTTTGTCTCTTCTGTTTTCGGCTCTGTTTATTTTGGTCTCTCCCTTAAGTTTGAGGCTTTCTTGGAGATCTTTGACTCTCCTTATATACTAAAAACTGATGAGAAAGGGGGCAGGCCCAACCTATTCTCCACTGTTGACTGTTCATTGCCCAGGTGACAGTGTGGATTCTGCTATTTCACTGGAGCCCTCCAGATGTCAGGATCTGTAAGCCTTTTGTTGGGGCCATTCATCGCCTCCAGAGAGAAGTCTACCTGGCAGCCAGTATACTGTTTCCTCAACACTCAGTGTGCAGACTTTAATTAACCCACCTGTCCTCAGTTCAGTGCCTCTCGTTCATGCTCTCTTGTACCTAATGCCCTCTGGCTGGGGAAACTAAACCAACATGAGTCCACAAAATAAACTTTCAGCCTTCTGCCAAGGTGTGGAGTGGTGGTCACCAGTTTTAGCAGTATCCCTGTTTTCCATTCCAGGCCTCACCCAGTTTTCCCCAGTATCTAGCACCTCTAATTGCTAGGGTTTGCTATATATCCTGGTGAGAACCTCTTCTGCATGCCCTTGATACTCAGCTTTCTCAGCCCTGCTCCTTTCTGCACAGTTTCCTTTGTTGCTATCATTCACCCATTGATAGTCTCTCTGGTCTTGTGAATTTATACCATTCTAAGCAGAAATCTACAAATAGTTTTAACCAAACTGAAAACAGTGCACCTGGAGGGTTTATTTTCCATGTAAGAGCTGGGTTTGAGAATGTCTTTAATTTTTAAATTGAGCTTTTTGTAGTTTTCACATTGCACCAACCCTGTGCTTTCCCCAGGGATCAGACATTGCCTAGGACAGGGTTGGGGAACATTTTTTCTGCCAAGGGCCATTTGGATATTTATAATACCATTTGCAGGCCATATAAAATTATCAACTTAAAAATTAGCTGTGAAAAAGCTCCTAGATTTATTGAATGTTGAGTCCTGCCTGCATTTTCCTTGGCAGGGCCAGATTAAATGATTTCATAGGCCATATACGGCCCTCGGGCTGGATGTTCCCCACCCCTGGCCTAGAAGGAAGAACCTCGTTTCCCCTTTAAGCTGTTTGTGGAACAGAATAAGAGCCTCTTGAAGGAAATGGCTTCCTGCGTGCCAAACTCAAATCTCTTTAAAATATGAGATGGCACTTCTGTGTTTTCAATGAAAATTTGGAGAGGTTACANGCCGTGCCTGACGGCGCTGTCTTAGACAGAAACACGGCTTCCGTTATAATAAAGGACGATTTTTCAAGATGATCTGAAGAGGCTTTAACGTAACAATGTGCTCCTACTGAGTTTTTTAACCCTCACCCGAGGATATTTTTTGTTGCTTTTCTGAGAGGGGGGAGAGAGACATGGATGTGAGAGAGACACATGGATTGCTTGCCTCCCGCACGGGCCCTGACCGGGATGGAGATCGAGCCTGCAACCAAGGTACCTGCCCTTGGTCAGAATCGAACCTGGGACCCTTCAGTCCGCGTGAGGGCCGACGCTCTGACCACTGAGCCAAGCCGGCTAAGGCAAAAAGGTTACATCTTAATTATTAATCACTCTTAAGCAATGTATATTTAGAATAATGGTTAAAAGACCACAACATTGCCCTGGCCGTTTTGGCTCAGTGGTTAGAGCGTAGGCCCTCGGACTGAAGAGTCCCAGGTTCGATTCCGGCCAAGGGCATGTGCCTTGGTGGCAGGCTCGTCCCCAGCCCTGGTTGGGGTGTGCACAGGAGGCAACCAATCCATGTGTCTCTCACATTGATGTTTTTTTCTCTCTTTCCCTTTCACTCTCTCTGAAAAGCAATGGAAAAAATATCCTCGGGTGAGAATTAAAAAAAAGAGAGAGCACAAAATCTCAAAAAGCACAGCAGTCAATACTGAGTCACTAATCATAAACTATTTCTATACCAAAACTAAAGAGCTAAATACAGAAATCTGCCTCTTGCGCTCTTGTCTCCTCTGAATTGCTTAACCTAAGGAAACCAAGTTTCTAATCACCTCCATCTGTTATGGGGGTGATAAAATTTTTGTGATAAAATCCTAACCACCACCCGCTTCCCCCAACCTCAGAATGTGACTGTATTTGGAGATAGGGTCTTTAAAGAGGTAACTAAGATGAAATGAAGTCGAGTTGGCCCCCATCCAATGTGACTGGTGCCCTTATAAGGAGAGATTCAGACACACATACATAAAGAGAAGACCATGTGAAGACAAGATGACCATCGACAAGCCAGGGAGTGAGGCCTCTGAGGGAAATCCACCCTGCAAACACCTTTATCTTGGACTTCCAGCCTCCAGAAACTGAGGACATAATTTTCTGTTTAAGCCCCACCCTGCCTGTGGGGCTTGTTACAGTCCTAGCAAACTACATCTTTCTTTTTTAAAATTTAAAGACACCACCACCACCAAAGTACCCTGAATTCCTTAACCTTCTCCCCAGATGGACAGTCTTATTTTTTTTTTTAATCAAAATGAACAGTGTTAACCAGGGGATCTGTTTTTATCTTTGCATTGCATGTCTTTTATGAATAGTAACTAAACTAAACGGCTCCTCTGCCCTGCATTCCAAAGCATGGAAACAGAAACTGCTGTGTGCATGTTTGTGCCCAATGTGGTGCCGTGGAAGATAGGGCCCATATTTCCACTCCCACCCCTATCAAGTAATGGTGTTTGGAAACCATCAAAATATTTTACCCAGTTTTAGACATGGACTCATGCCCAATGTTGAATGTAACTGGACAAAGCGAGCTGTGGAAATGTGGTAATGAGAAATACTCGTCTGTGATGTCTTGTCCTTAGGGAATTATTTATGTCCCGGAGAAAATGATTAGCTCTTAGCTGCACCTGATACGTGATGACTACTTGAGTGGAAGGTGATAGGAATATGGTTGGATTATGAGAATCATTTCGCTTTGTGCTCTTGGTGACTGTAATTCAGCATAATGAATAATTGAGATGTTTTCAACAACTTCCAGATGCTTAAAAACAGGCTTTCCTTTTAGATAGAAATTCTCTGACATTTAAAACTCATTGATACACCTACTAGTAAAGGCACTAACTTGCTGGTTGCTATGACATTCAATAATGGGAAGTGATAGAAGAATTAGCATGCTTCTTAGAGACCTACGTAACAGCAAGAAAGTGCTTTTGAGGAAATGGGCAAGTCTTTTGAGTTTTATTTTTCTTGACATATCAACTCTTCTGCCCCATCTGTATTGTATGATATTTAAGTTTAGTTCTAAATACAGATCCGTTGGAGTCCATTGTGTCTGCTCGGAATAACCTGGCGGACATATGCTTTGGTCTGTCTCCCACATTTTGCAGCCATCCTATTTGGGTGACCTTCCGCTGGGTACACATGACCCAGGTCTCCCAAATCAACACCATTCCCTTGGCCACAAGGATTAGTTTATGGGTGAAGTGTACTCTTATTAATAAGTAGCATCAAATCTGAATCTGGCAGAGGAACAGAACCCCAGGCACTTGGAGCTCTGGGGCGTCTGTGAGATAAATCATGGAAGAAGCTCACCCTTCCCCTGGGAGCTCAAGCTCCTTAGCCTGTTGCCTGGTGCTGCCTGCCTGGATATTGCAGTCCGTCAGTTGTACAAATGTACTTTTTTGATCTTATTTTAACATCTGAAAGGATGCATCTTACAGTTGATGGCATCTTACAGTTGATGCATCTTACAGTT